AAAAAATTTTGAATCCATCAAATAATATTTGGTAGAATAAAATAATTTGTTTTAAATATAATTTCATAAAGAAGTTTGATTTTATTAAACTTATTTTTTTCTTTTCCTTTTCCTTTCTTTTCCATCCTTTTTTCCTCCTTTTCATTTTAATATTATTAAATATTTATATAAAGTTTTTTTAAAAAAATTTAAATATGAATTAAATATAATAAAATTAGGAAAAAAAATAGTTCAGGCTATGAGACTCTAGACTCTAGATTAATTCTAAACTAGACATAGTGAAAATTTGAAAACATAATCCTTTTTTTAGACCACCGCGGTCTGACAACGAATTTCCTTCACGTCAGGAATTTGAATAATTCTTTTCCCACGATCTGACAATAGATTTCCTTCGCGTCAAGAATTTGAACATGTATTTCTCTCCTCTGTATGTTGACGGAGTTTAATTTTTCTTAATAATAAAATAATGATCTTACCCAACAAAAGCTACACATACCATGGATGGACATATCGAAAATTCGAAATGAGTTTCAGGTTGTGATTTCGAGTTCCCAGGCGACTTAGGAACGAATTTTGTTAAATTTCAATATTCTAAGTAATTTTCTATGGCTCTGTTCTTTGGAAATCGGAATTAAAAGTTGTCATCTCTTTAGTTTCTTACAATGATAACGATTAATATTAAGTAGACGTTTAATTCCTTGTTGATGTTTTTTATTTTATTTTTAATGCAACTTTAAAATCTGATGTCTAAGAAATATATAGCGAAGTGAAAAATGTTGTTAACGATATTAAATTTTTTTTGTTTAAATTATGAAACACCTGAAAGTCGTACCTTTGGGCATATTTCGAATTTCGATATGTAGCGCAAACTATAACTCTGAGTCAATCGAGAAACATGATCGACGCTACACTAATTTTAATTCACAAAATCTTCAGCTATTTAAAAACAACAAGGGTAGAGAAGTCGAGCTGGTTTGCACTTGGTAATCGTGGAGTCCAATGTGGGGTTGACATAAAATATGTATTCTTATTGAAACATACGGTCTCATTTATAAAAATATTTGGTTAGCCATGGCTTTAGCGCATTTTCGAAAGCTTTTTGTGGTAGGTGTTTTTATTAATCTCAACATCGTGATCATGATCATCGAGTCTTATTACAACCTAAACCATTTCCATATGATGCGTCTCCGTTTCGAATGGATTCGATCATGAACTAAGCTTAATTCGATATATTCTTGCATATATTTGTTGTATATTATCTACTTTCATTTGACTGTTAAGCCTGAGTTGAGGTGAAGCTATGCTCATTAAGTTGAACGATCTTTTGACCAACAAAATCATTACAAAGCATACTTTAAATTTACACTAATTTCGAATGGTTTTAAAACTTTTGCTACGGAACCCTAGATATAATTTTAGTAAAAAATTAGTAAATCCAGCTCTGCTACATAATAATAAATAAAAATTATGTATAAAACTGTTAGTTCCAGCAATTTTTATATTAACAATATTTTATGCTTGCATGTTCAAGTATGTACCTATGAATGTATCCGTATGTACAAGTATGACTTAAAAATGATATAGTATATGTAAGGTATAGTATAGTATATATGGTATATGAGAAATGAATGTTTTTTTTACATTAATATTTGCAGTTTTTTTTACTAGTTTCATATTGTTTTTCTAATTTTAGTTTTTATTTTTGATTAGTTTTTTTTTTATACCCGTAATAGCAAGCTTAGTCTTATGCCAATTTGTATAAGTTCAGTTAATGATTTGGAAATTGGTAGTTAAGATATGAAGAAGTAATTATTGATATCTTATAAATTGCTTTTTTAGTTTTTAAATATTCAATTAAAATCATTAGGAACACAATTTACTAGTTTTACTTGTGTTGCATGTTATAATCTGTCTACTATGTTTGCAACATTGCTTTCCACACGCAACATAATTATAAAACACAAAGGTGAAATTGCACCAAAGCTTCGAACCCGCTTTGAATCCGCATCGACTCCGCATTGAATCCGCATTGAGTCCGCATTTAGTCGGTATTGAGTGCACATTTAGTCCGCATTGAGTCCGCATTGAGTCGGCATTGAGTGCACATTTAGTCCGCATTCAGTCCGCATTTACCCACATTGAGTCCAGTTCGACGGAGTTATATATTTTATAGACAATTTTTCAATGTGATAATGTAGGCATAAATATAAATTAAGTATTTTATAATATCCATACCTATTTAGTTTATTACGACTAGTTGATTACAGAAAGCTAAATAAGATTTTTCAAGTTAATACTATATGTTAATTTTAATGTTATGTTTATTGGCTTTGTGTGTTAATATGCGGGTCCACAGGTCGACTTTAAACACATCAATACCTGACATTTGCAATCCAAAAATTATGCTGGTCAGCAAAAATAGCATTTTTTTCTCATTTCTGTTTTTTCTACGGCTTAAAGTTATTTTTGGCCTTGTGGGCTCAAATTCATATAACTTTTTTTTATTAAAATCTAGAACTGAAAAATTGGTGTTTTAAAGGGTAAATAAAATTTTGTCAGTAAACTTACTTCGATGAATGGACAAAGACATTCTTTCTCATGTACTCATTAATCGTAATTGCTTTCTTTTATGTTGGCTTCTGAGGCCCTATGCTGCACTAGGAGAGAAGGACAACAGTAAGTAAGTACGTAGGGTTCTGCAAAAATTATTCCGTGATTTTTTTCATTCACTTGACTTTCACTTCTATTAGCTATGAAATCAACAGTTTCATCTGGTAACAATAATGTTATTTGGTTGAAATTGAGATTGGAGAGAACAGTTTAAAGATTTATTAAGAAATAATGGTGAAGGTGAATATGTACGCATAGAATGGTATTCCAACTGTACGGCTAATAGTGTTACTCACCCTTTTAATAAAAAAAAAAAACTTTGTTCTTACAAAGCTAGTAGTTATGTTTTTGTAATCGGTGAGATCATGACTGCCTGCATAACATGGTTGTAAAGGGTAAACTTGTGCATTTAACTTTTTAACTTATGTTTGTCTTTCTGATTACACTATAGATACTTGGAAACTCTTAAATTTTTTTCATTTTTGATAACACCTATCTTTTTCTAATATTTTTGATAGATCTTCAGAATTTTAATGCTTGATACGTTCATTTTTCTTAATAGTGTTTAGACGAAAATGGAGCAGTTCTTATAATATTATAACACCGACGATCTACTACGTTATTGTCTGTTTACATAAAACTGATTACATATGTATATATATTTAGTGTTGAGGTTTCGAAGTAAATTTATTTATATAGATTGAGTTACAGTTCGATCTCTCAATATGTGCTATAATACATAAAATAGTTGTACTCTCTTTCTATCACATTTCTTTTAAAGACTTTTTTAAGTTCAGAGTTTTAGGTTAAACTTAAGAGTTATTGACCTTAATTTTTTTTATAAAAAAAAAGTCTAGCGTTTGTTAGTGTATATTGTATTCTATTCATTTGAAGATTTGTATTCAAATTTTTGTTTCGATTCTTAAAAAAATTGTTGTATTCATTAAAGATTTATTTTTTAAGAAATTCTGAAACTTTTTAGATAACTTCTCGGTGGGTTCCAGAGAATCAAGTTACGTACTTTGTTTACAAATTTTTTACTATTCAAATTTAAATGAACTTGTTTTGTTGCTCAAATGAAATTAATAACAAACTGAAATTATGCAAATTACTTTTAAAAATAGTTTCATTTGTTAAACAAATAAGTAGCAATAAATTAAGCCGTCAACGGAGTTTGATAAGAAAATGAGAGAAAAAGTTAATTTCATCAAATTGTGGCTGAGGAATGACGCCTACTCGTTGTCAAAATTTTTGACATTGTTTCTTTTTCATCTCAAATATTAAACATGAAAAGGTCTTACGATTTTATATAAATTGTTAACTTCACTATAAATTATTGTTAACAAAAACAAACAACAAAAAAAGAATAAGAAAAAACCCGTCATTTATTTTTTCGTAAATTTTTTTGTGAAGTCACCGAGTTTTGATCACAAACGCCGTCAAAGAAACAGAATTTCTACAATGAAAAGGTTTTGGGTGAAAGTTTGCAAAATTGTTGAACACTGAAAAAGTTTCATTGAATTATTAGAAATTTGTTAATAACTTTTATAGTTTTTTAAATTAAACCATAATATATGTTAAATTGCACTCTTAGCAAAATAAATTTTTCCTCCTATGTAATTTTTAATTGGAAAAGGTAAATGTTTGCAGTGCAATTCATGGCCACGGGGCGATTTAACAGCAAAAAATATTGAAAAAAGTAAAATATAACAAAACAATACATACTATTAAGCATTAATAAATAATAACAAAAAATATTTATATCTTTTTGTTAAGCTAAGTTGAATTTATTATAATTTTGACATCTGATGTATTCTACACTTCCTTCAAATCACTTTCATTTTGACAGCGCGACGTATAAAGTATCGACATTGATGAAAAATAACTTAAGACAGAAGGTAACAAAGTCTATTATTAAATAAATTCGTAGCTTATAGTACTGATTCTGCGGAATAGCCTAAAAAGATACAAATTTTTACTATTAATTGCTTATATTAAAAGCTATTCCAAACATTTCAATACTCATTCTGGCGTCAGACAAGGATGCTGTTTCTTTCACTGATCCTGTTTTTTATTGTAATTGACAATGTTTACTCGTACCTACTATCATATAAAGTATTCTAACAAAGTCAATTGCTGAAGGTGTTGCATTTAATTTAAATATAATATGTTAAAATCTTATTGAAAACGGCTTTTAATATATTTACTTGTATATTCTATGTATATACTACATATTTATTCATTATAATTCTATTAAATTTAATAATCTTAGTAAGCTGTTATGATAAAAAAAAAAATCTGCTAAACTTTTTGTAGAATTTATTTTTCATAGTAATATATATTTCAACTTCTCGTCTGCTTTCGAACTCACAAAACCTAAATTTTTCCAGAAAAAGTACTCCATACAAATATGGAGCCCTTTAGTGGTCTAAATACTAGACGTCTCAAGCGAGAGCTTAGAGAAATTAGAAAGAATCCTCCGCCATTAATTTCCGCTGGTATAGTAGACGATAATTTAACCATGTGGGGAGCTACAATACACGGACAGAAGGACTCAGTATATGAAAATGGTGTATTCGAGTTGAGCTTATGCTTCCCACTAAATTATCCGTTTGAGCCACCAGTAGTAACGTTCAAAACAAGGATTTACCACTGCAATATTAATTCGCATGGGATGATATGCCTAGATATTTTATCTAAGAAATGGAGTCCAGTCTTAACAGTTTCACATATCTTGGTCTCTATTAGTTCGTTGTTGCTGGATTGCAACCCATATGATCCTATTAATAAGCAAATCGCTAGACAATATATTCATAATAGAGAGCTACATGATAAGACTGCACGCGAATGGACCAAAAAGTATGCCACTCCGCCGGAATAATTATAAGATTAGAAGAAAATTTGCAAAAATTAATTTTAATAACAGTAAGTAAAATTTTTTATGTACAATGTTGAACTACGTGTTGTATAAAAACTTCTTTGATTTTAGTTATATAAGTACAGTTTGTCCTATTAACATTCAATTTCTTCTATATATAGGACCACCCCATAAATATTCATTGTTAAATTCATTGTTCATTGTTAATCCTTAACTAAGAAAAGAGAGATATTGGATTGTGAAGAAATTTTGGGAACATTTATGAAATGTCTAAGGTATACTTTTTATTATACATATTTAATTTTTACCAAAAATTAGTAATTAATTTAAGGTGTCTAATAAAATTACATGTGAAATCTTAGTTTTAAGTTAAGGAATTCTACAAAATGGTTAGCATATGAACTTCAAATTATTGGTACATAAACTAAAGAAGGACTCACAGGAAATAGTAGTTAACGTAACCAAACATGAGTTCAAAACTTAATTTATGAGAGACAAAAGTAAGACCGAAAAGGAACTTCAAAAAATGGCTACTAATTCTTCTAAATTTTAGGTTTCAAAACGTGAGAAGTGGACAATTTTTATCTCTCTTTTTTCGATTTTAGAAAATTTTTATCAAGTATTTCATTACCATACAATAAATACAGAATATAAAAAATTATGTTGTTTAATTATACAATTTGATAAGCTTCTATTTCATGTGCAACAACAAAGAGGTTTTCTTTTAAGTATATATCCACACTAGATTTAAAAACATAGATATAATGTAGAATAATAATATAAATTATAATGAAAGTTATTCATATTCTTTCGATGAATGACAGCTAATGGCAGAATTTTTGACAAAAATACATTAATCAAAAACCATACTTATATGATGGCTATATCGAAAAGCGGTCGTAAAAAAGTTCGATTCCACATTATCCACAAAGTGGTAACAAATGAAGTAGTAGTAATAATAACAACAACAAGGTCAATTTCCAATTACCATCCGTGTATTTCAAACAGTACAAAATTTAAGCAAAATTGTTCTGTTTAAATCAATTATAATAAAAAAAATTATAAATAATAAAAACTGTAGAGTTACCTACTACTCTATCGTAAATTTCTTTGTTTCCCTGATGAAACAAAGAAGATCGGGTACGACGAGAGTCTCAACATTGGTCATGCTTAGTATATCCAAATAAATTCAATTTCGTTCTTGAAAAGGATGGCCAATAATAAAGAAAAGTTCAGACTTGCCCGTGTATTCGCAAAAAAATATTTCTATATCGGATGTGTAATAACATCTAAAGCAGCTATGTGCTTTTGTTTTACTCTGAACAACTTTCTCTTTGATAGCAATATACATTTCACCAGTTTTTTTTATGTTTTAATAGAAATGGAAAATGTAACCTGAAAAAAGGATCGTTGGTGATGGATATTTAGTATAGTGATGGATAATACTTAAAGTGAATTTTAATTATAAATGACATTTAATTCTTATTTTATTAAAATAATAATTTAAATTTGAATTCAGTTTAATTCAAATAAAAATTTATATTAATTTCATCATCAATTCCTGTATCTCCCATTGAAGCATAGGGCGAAAGGGAGATACAGTAAGAGATGAATAATTAATTTTATTTAAATATAAATTTAAAATTTTATTTATTTTAAATAGAAGTTTAAATTTTAATTTGATTTAAATATAAATTTTAAATAGTTTCCAGTAAAAGTTTAATTTTTAATTTAATTTTAAGATCTTTTATTTTAGATTTAAATTAGAATAAACAAAGTACTTGACAATACTCGAAACAGCGTTGTATGATCAGTCAAATTGCAATAAATTAACTAAATTTTTGTTTTTGTCTTTTCTTTGCTATTCGACTCCTTCTAAAATAATTAACATTGTTTCACTTAATTTATTTTTTAAATAAATTGTTTATTTTTATATTAAAATTTTTATTAAATCTTTGAAATGTGAAAGTTAATGTTAACCTCTTAATGTTATTTTTTAAAATGTTCACATGGGGAAACCTATTTCTAATGTCTTCGCTTAGAATCATCCGTCAATTCCACTTATGTGCCTCTCATATTTCACAGAATATTACATATTAAATTTATTTGAACTTAAAGTCACTATTGTCTCACTTTTCCGGTTCATTGTACCATTTATTTCGGTTAGCAAGTCAAAGCAGCAGAAACAAAACAATAATAATAAACAACTTAAGAGATTTTTGACCCGCATGTGCGCTCAACAAGTTACGGACATTTGCTCACCTAAGCAGTTCCAAGGCGTTAATTTATTTTAATTTCGGTTTTCATTTTTTGGGCATTTAAAACGATTAACTCCGTTTAAAACCTGCGTGCGACGTCTGAGATACCAAAAAACCTTAATTGTTGTCTTAATTTAGTTTCGAGCATGCGTGCCGGCGTTCAGTACCGTCGTGAGTAAATTCGATTTTTAATTTATTTATTTTTTTTTTACCATATTTTGGTATTATTGACTTTTGATATTCGATATTTAACCATAATTTGACGTTTTTCTAATTGTTGTGATATTTTTTTTTCAAAGTACATGTGCCACTTGGGTCTTGGGTCTAAACCAAGCGTGATTTGGACGTGCTACAATTCAGTAAAATATATTTACTGATTTTGATTTTGATGACCATTGGCTAATTATAGTCTCAAATTGATCATTGGTAATTTATACCTCTTATTCTTCTGAATTTATTATACTTTTGCTTAATTAATTGTTTTAAATTTCGAAGAGTAATTAATTACAGTTGAATATATTTTTTTGCTCGATTAGTGAAAAAGATAAAAGTAGTGATTTTGACTTAAATTTTTCATTTGATTATAAGGAGATTGTTGACCTTTTTTTGGTAAGAAACCGTACTTATTTTAACACGTTTAATATATATAACTGTGTTAAGAATGTTATAATATATGTCAATTAAAGGCACTATTCTACCCATTTGATAATGGATACTCGTATTAGTAAATACAGTTACTCTGAATAAAACTTTTTTTGCCAAAACTGCATGGCAGTCTGCACTGCATTTATGTATTTATTTATTTATTTATTTATTTATTGTACTTATTATTTTTGGTTAAAGGTTTTCAAATTTATTTTTTTATTTATTAAACATTTTTTAATATTTTCACAATGGTAACACGTAACCTACCTAATTTTTATATAATTTACCCTACTTGAAATTCTGGTAAATACCAATATTTGCTGCCACACTGAAATAATTTACTATTTCCCGCAATTTACTATCAATAATGGTCAAATTAAAAAATTTGCTTAACATCTCAATCAAAACTATGTTGTATGTTGTAACATCACCATACTTATTAGGCGATATTATAATTTTTATATGGTAGTTACACACATATCAATAGTCACAACTTATATCAATTAAGACGAAGTAATGAATTAGTACATTATGAGAATACTGACTTGCAACCTAATCGAAAATATATCATTCAAATTCTATACAAAAATTTCATATTAAAACAGAAATGGGGTCCGAAGCAGGTACTGAGATTTGAATCGACTAAAACCACCTCTTACGAATAAGTGGAGAAGATTTTCACAGCAATGTGGAAACTTCATTCCAGTAATAGGAAGAGAGAGATATGAACGAAAAACCTTACGGGCTAGCGGTTTATCTAAGTCAGAAACCAGATAAATTGGGCATAGGTGAAGGCACCAGGGTTATAGCATGAGTGCGGAAATTGGACTACCGGTTGATTCTGTGACCAAAATCACAAAAGCACCGGCACTAAAATCCCGCTCATCGAAGTGTAGTATGAGGTATTGATAGAACTTGAAGCACAAGGCTTGGACAAGGTTTGCGTGAAGGGTGCAGGTAGTGGATACCTCAGGGAGGGGGAGAAGGTTGTGCAGCTGGGAGGTAGTTGTCAATGCGGTTGATATTTGCTTACCTAGCGTTGCGGATGGAATAGTTAAGGTGTGGAATGACTCAAGTCATTTAACAGATAACAAAGCAGAATTTTATACTAAATATATTACAAAAAACTCAAAATGGCTACTATGTTTTTATTAAAACTGGATATGACTATATCAGCTAAGAAAAAGGAATCTTGCCCAAAAAAGTATTAATATCATACTAAGGTATGCGAAGCATCATTATAATTTTTGAAGTCCATTTTTTTAAATTTTATTTAATTTTATTTTATGTTATAGAATTTTTATATTCCTGTAATGTCTGAAAATAGCTACTGTGAATATAATTTTGATATTTCTATTAATAATTATAATAGTTTATGAACTGCAATATATAACTTTCGATTATTAAATTATTTTAAAAAATTCATTGTAAATGTCTACAAACTGAAAACAATATTTCCATAAGCGATTTCTGCAGTAAAGTAATAAATAATATTTTATCGAACAAAAGTATCTGTAGTTTTGACATTTCTAATTTTGAATAACATTAAGCATTTTCTCAATGTAAGACTGCTTAAACCCTCACTTAAATGCCGAATCAAGGCATGGGCAATAGTTTAGGCATGGAGTATTTGAGATATAGAGGTGTGGTCCGAAGTTGAAGTATGAATTGCTCGCCTGTTGCTTGCATCTCAAGTGCATTAATCCCGTCTGCAAGGCAAAGCTCTTGAACAAATGTTTAATTGCATGCACATTTCTTACTGTTCAGCATAAATAAATGCAGTTAAATCATTAAATTCATTAATAAAATTAATACATTTTTATTTAATTATATTTATAACTGCATTAAATACTCTCATAGCATTCAATTTGTTGCAATTAATTTTGATTTGTTATTAACTTTCATATTTACTACGTTTGCTTTCAAATTCATTCAGCAAAATAGTAAATATCTTTTATTAATAACAAATTTATTGAGCAATAATAATATAATATGTTTATATATATATATCATTCCATGAATTATCACAGCAGTTTTCAAATAAATTTTGTTTTCTTGTAGAATATGAAAATAGTACTTAAATATTAAAATAAGTTTGAAAACGTAAAAGCTATATACTCGTAATACAAAAAAACTGAACAATTTTTATATTCATATATAAGAGTATAAATATAAGAATTGACTGACAGATTCTTCCGAATCAAACAAAATGACATAACATCTGAGCTGAAAACAATCACAGCTGGAGTGCCGTAAGGTAGTATTCTTGGCCAAACTCTCTATTTAATATTCATAGCCGATTTCTCTTCAGCGCTAAGTGTTTATACTGCTACCTTTCAGATAACACAGCTCTTGTGAGTATTGATTCAGATGTCGATCATTCAACTAACACACTTTAAGTCACGATTTCTGAAGTCAGTAAATGGTGTAAAAAATGGCGAATAAAACTTAATAGTACTAAATTAGTTAACATTATCTTCACAAATCGGAAAATTCAAAAGCCTTTTTATCTGAATGGTTGTGTAATCCCATGTAAAAATACTGCTAAATATCTTGGCATGACGCTAGTTGCGAAATTGCGTTGGAAAGAACATGTCAAAATAAAAAGAGAAGAGCTTGATAATAAATGGCTTATGGGAAAGAAATCCCAACTCTCACTAGAAAACAAACTTTTATTATATAAACAGGTCCTTAGACACATTTGGAGTTATGGCATAAAGATTTGGGGCTGTACAAATAAAATTAACCGTATGGTTAT